TATTGCCCCAATGTTTAATTCACTTTACTTTTTATATGATATTGTTATAAGTTATTATAACTATAAATTTTTCATATTTCTCACATATTTTGGTTTAAAGTGTTATTAAAATGTGTTATTAAAGTTTCGGTGCAGCCATGCCGGAGGTCTGACTTGAATCTGATAGATTTGTGAAATGAGCTGAAGATTAGGGTGAGGCCTTCCATCTTACAAACTTGGAAACCATCACTTTAAAAGTGCTGAAAGTTTGCAAGAAATGCAGGGTATGTGTAGGAGGTATTTCTTTTGATTTATTTATTTGTTTTGGGTTACTCAGAATAAACGTGTAGTTCAATATATATATATATATATATATATATATATATATATATATATATATATGTTTTTTTTCACATCAATATCAAGGCTTTAGGCAGCTGTGTAGCCACATGGTTTTTAGCAATCATTCAGCCACAGTAAGTCACTCAACAGGTGGTGAGCATGTGAGGCAACCTGTGTATTAATACAGTAAATGTGGATGGGGTAAGGAGAATGTAGGAACGTGAGATCCTGTTAACATGTATTGTTTTTTTCTTGCCAGCAAACTTGGATTATCTCCAGTGTGGAATTGCGATCTTTGATGTTTTATGGGACCCTTTTTATACTTGTAAACCAACATGCACCATGTGAATATTTGAGTAACAGTAAAGTTCAGTTTGATCACTTAAAGGTCCCATATTTTACAAAATTCACATTCTAAACATTTTGTAACAGTCACGTATCCTGAAGCACGTGTATGATATTCACAAGTGATAATAAAAAACTTTCAACTCTCTGACTGCCTCTAATTTTTTAGCTTCTGCTCAAAATGGTATGTCTAAAAAGCAGCCCCCCTTATGATGTCATAAGGGAAAATACGCTGTCCAGAGCGGTCTGTAGCAGCCAATCAGTCATTCTCTGGCCTTATTCCTCTCTCCACTATCTTTAAGAACTCTAACTTGTTTTCATAGTAGCAGGTTGTGTGGGGCCATACCCTTTGAGAGGATGGTGCAAGGAAAGCCAAAATATCTTCTTTAGAAGAGGACTGAATTTTTGAGATTTCTGGTACATGCTGTCTGTCCGCCCAAATTGCAAATACATGCTCTGGGGGTGTCATTCTTTATATATTTTTATTTTCAGATGTAGCATAATATGGAATTTTTATATTTATTTATTTATTTCTTTTACAGAAACAATAGTCACAACTGTATGATGCCTTTTTCCTGTCAGAAAAAAAAACTTCGCACTGAATGAAAATATTTGCCATTATTATTATTATTATTATTATTATTATTATTATTATTATTATTATTATTATTATTATTATTATTATTATTATTATTAAATCATTAAAGCTTCCAATTTATTTTGAAATAGAAGCTTTTATTGCGAAGGTTTGAATTCCGGAAGTGCTCCCAGTGAGCTAACAGCAGCTAGCAGCTGCGCTGTGAGCATCATAACTGGCGTTTAAGCGGTAAAGAGCAGATTGTGTATCAGTCAACCCTGCTATCCTCAGAATATCTTTGATCCTAGGTCCATTTATCTTGCGTATTTGTGTGTTTTTTGTTTTGTTTTTTCTTTTTGGCGGCTCTCCGCTGCCTGTTGGTCCCAGCCGTTGGTCGCCTGTCTCTCAGCAGCAGTAGCGATGGTTTTATCAACATCACAACAAGTAGCTCTAGCGTTCACGGCGGTGCTCTTTACATTTGTCGTCCTGCCGAGGTTATTTGGAGTAGGCGGTGGCACAGCGAAGGAAACTAAATATGACCCTCGCTTCAACAGAAAAGGTGAGGAGTTTAGGTTTTGTTTTTATTTGGGTTTCTCTCCAGGACGCTGCTGTCCTGTCTGAGTCTTCGTGGCCTGTGTTTGGTTTGATAACTATTAGTTGCTGCGTAATTCCTCCTCTTTTACTGGAACTCTAAAATGCTCTTATGTCAGGGTAGTGATGCTTTTTTCAACAGCTAAGAACGGGGACAAGGAATTATGTTTAAATGTAACATTAAGCACTTGGCGAAAAAAAAAAGTGGAAAAAACTACAACAAACTTATTAAAAAACAAAAGTTGTTATTGATTAATATTTTCTAAGTAGGTATTTTCCAAGTATATTGGATTTTTAAAGCTTATGAAAACCCCAAACCGGAAATCCTGGTTGCTGCTGTCCATGGTGCTGATATTGTTTTTAAATTTAACTTTCTTGTTCCTTTTGTTCCCAAAAGAGAAGGTTAAGGGATATTTATTTAGTTTGGTAAAGCAGTCTAACCTAGTTTGGTCTCTTTAAAGTTTTAGTCCTCATACAGAATTCATCTGTGTTTCTTTCAGTCTGATATTAGTGAAATATTATGTTAGTAGACACAAAAAGCTGTTTTCAAATGATGAGTTCAGACCAAGCCCTTTGTAAACAAGCTGTAAAAGTGTCCACCTGAAATCTATTAACTAGTTGCAAAACTCTTTAAATTGTTGTAAATCCAGACCTTGTCTAAGCCACTCTAAAAGTTAATGCATTTTTTTTTTTATAACAACCTTTCCAACACTTTAATTCCGACAATTTATTATAGGAGTTAAAATTCTATTATCAGCTCTTTCACATTTTGGTCATGCAGACTCAAGTGAGGAATCTTGGCCATGAAATAAGTTCACCACGCCTTGTAAACTAATTTTCTCTCTTTAAAAACAGCATTTTAATGTTACGTGCTTTGTATCATAACATATGCCAGATTAAATACAGAGCAGGGAAATGCTTGCCACACATTTAAAATTGTTAGCTGTAAAAACGGAAAACTACCACTTTGCTTAATGTCTGTATTTCATATTGAATCCATGTACAACATGTTCATTTTGAAATGTCTAATATTGTACATGTTGGGAGTAATGGTAATAATGCATTTGTCTCTGGGAAAAGTAACCACATGGATGATGAAAACTATGAATAATTCAGTAAATCAGGCATTAGCAGCACAAATTGTTTGCCCCCAGCCTTGTGGCTTTTTAATTGGAATGAGAATGGCTTTTACTGTACTTGTTTTTATTTATGGCTGCAACTTACATTTCTATAATGGCTGTGCAGAAAGTCTGATTAGATTTATGAAACAGACCCATTAAGCTAATCGGATTAGAGTAACCCCACCAATCTTGCATTTCCTTTTTCTATGTCCAGTTTTGTCAAATCTTTAAAGACAAACAAGCGACAAATGGAAGGTAAGCCGCAGTTGAAGTGGGGGAGGGAACAGGGGGAGATGAGTTATCTTGGAGAGAACTGAGAGTAAGAGTTTTTATTTATTATGGATTTTTACTTGGTTCTGATGCAATATTCCCAGAGATCTAATGTGTTTCTATTTGAATTTTCACAGGCTCTGTTCTGTTTTTTTTGTTTTTTGGCTAAGTATTCTTAAAAGAGAGAAAATGTTTCTAAGTTCCCTAAATCGAGGCGGTAGATTTAAATCCAACAAAAATGTTTGTATTTAAACTTAAAATTAAAATTCTGCCCCTTAAACTCAAATCCTAAATGTGGTTTGGGCTATGAAGGTTGCTCTATATTGTCGGGGCTTGTAGCCGGTTTACGGGTTTACCTGCTTTGACAACCTTAACAGCACAGGGTTCACATTTTCACAGCACACCCCTGATGTCTGTGCAAATAAGAAAGTAAATGTATTTTTAAAAGTTTCCATGGATGTTACACTCATTAAAAGTCACGATGTCAGCATATTTCATTGTAATTCTACAAGTTTGAGGCCATTCATGCCCCCGAATTTCCTGATCTAGCAGTTGAAGATCCTATTTCACTAACTGCCCGTGCAAACAATGGGGAAATTGTTTAAGTTTGCTTTGTGGCTGACTGATTATACCTCGACCTTTTTCATTACAGCTGAACAAAACAAATACACACAAATACACTGGCTCATATGTATTTCAGTCATTTTAATATTTCCTTGTTGCAGGAAACCACGTGCTTCTCGCATGAAGGCATGGTATTCAAACATTACAGTTCGGTGAGATATGGGGTTGAGTTCATTTGTGTTGCATCAGTAACCTCAAATATCACCTTAAAGTACTGCAAAAGACAAGATGATCCAGTCCATATCCAGAAATCTTTCATCAATCTGATATCATGCTATCACATAGCTCATATAACAGCTTCGAAAACATACAATTCTGCTCTACTCATGAATCAAATTCAGACATGCATTTTCACTTTCTTTTCACCTAGCCTACTTCATGTCGCAATACATTTGTATTTAAGTCATTTCTATTTTGCTGATAAGATGGATTCTTTTATCACATAGAGTCAAGTTGATTGAGAAATTAATAATTAATTGACAGTTATATTTATTATCGATTTACTAAGGTAATTCATTTCGGATATGGAAAAAGGTTTTACAAAAAACTTAAAAAAGAAGAAATCATGGCAAAAAACACATTTAAATGCTCTGTAGTACGCTTTAAAGAATCTGTATATCTGGGTTCACAAACTACGATTTTACTCCTTTTCAATATAGACGTCTCGCTTAATTTTTTTTCTTTTTCTTGCAGTGTCTGATTCATGCTGGTACAGCTCTGGAATATCATCTCTTTTTTTTTTTTTTCTGATGTTATAGGTCCAGGTCCGGGCGCCTCCAGGGGCCAGCCCGTCAGTTTGAACTCCCCAGGCTCACATCAGAGCGCTGACAACATCCAGCAGATGAAGAAACGCATGGAACAGGAGATGAAGAGCGACAAATACAAGTCCAACAGCAACAAAGGCTACGTGTTCACGCTAATGCCCCTCTATGCCATCGGAGTGGGAGTGTTTGCAGCTTACAAGTTCCTAAAGGTAAATACTTCTTTGGCACACGCTCCAGAGTTCTGCAGCTCTGGAAACACAATATGTTTAAAAACCTATATTTGCTTTTTCTGCTGCAGATCAAGTCATCAGATGATAAAGCACAAAAGGATAAATTTATTAAAGGGGCCAAAAAGTCAGCAGAGGCAGGTGTGTTTCCCAGTTTGGCTTTGTTTGAGCTTTGGTCACGTGTATTTGGTTACCGCTGATTATAATCACCGCTGTTTGTTTTACACAGAGAACCAATTAAATGAGTTGGAACAAAGGCTGGCACAGACAGAAAGGATGTTGAACTCTATCCTCACCCAGCTGGACCCGCTCACAAACTGGTGAGGCGTGACGCACAAACAGATGCCTCTTGATAAAGAAGCTCCAGTTCTGTAACCTTCTACGGTAGAACAGGATCAGGGCTGTTCAAAGAGAACCTTTTACGGCCCACTGATAGCAGTTAATTCACTTCTAGTTCACATGTTTGGTGTTATGTCTCCTTTTCTTTCTTTTCCCTTATCAGTTTAATTTTACGCATCATAGTAATAAACCTAATTTCTTAGGCTGCTTAAATTAAAGTAACAAGTATAAGAACATGTAATTCTCAAGCTATAAACCTGTTTTTGAGATAACAGGTCACAATTTTTGTTCTTTATATATACATATATATATATATATATATATATAT